TCCCGATCGTTGGAGGGAGACACTTTTGCGGGGGCCAGCTTGATCCTACAAATGATACGACACAACAATGAGTAAGTGGACCACACGCAAATGTAATGTGCTGCTTGCCTAGGTATCGGTCTGCCACGTTGTCTTCGCCCCGTCCCGATCGTTGGAGGGAGACATTTGCTGGGGTCGTCTTCGTCCCGTCCCACAGAGGAGAGATATTTGCGGGGCTCCCTTCGCCCCATCCCGATCATTGGAGGGAGACACTTTTGCGGGGGTCTGGCATGTGGCATCGCAGGGTCCAGCGCGGCAGTGGCAAGTAGAGGGGACGAGTATGCACGATAACCATGAGACAATGAACACTGAGCTATAGGGTAAGGAAGACTGCTTACCTGGAGATGCCCATAGCGATGCACAAAGCACGGCGACAATGATGAAAGCGAGGTCGTTGGGTAGTGCCACATTGAATGAACAAAGACGACAGCGAGCTAGGTGAGTGGCACTCCAGAGGTATGATATGAGAACATACCTGACTCTGTAAGGAATACTAGACCTCCGAGATTAGTGTTCGTCATCCAGCCGTGCTTCAAGCCTTCTCAGCAGCGACGGTGTCGAATTTGTGGCGTCGACGTTGACGATGACAAAGAGAAGCAAACGAGACACGATGATCAGCAGGCAGGCCATAAATGAATAGACAAGGCGACATACCACATGCATATACCTATCAGTGAAATAAAGCTGCAATGACAGCGGCGACGTCCAACCGCGGCATGGACGACGACAAAGGCGACGACGAAGAGACAGTAGAGGAGGGAGCGAGACAATACAAGCAATGCAGGTGAGTACCTATTTCCTAGGAGGCGTAGAGGAGCGGAGGCGCACCTAATGGTGATGGTTGGAGGTCAAAGCGTCGAACTGGTAAGCGCGGAGGGAACAAGGGATTTATAGGCAGCGAGGAGTGTGGCGTTGTTTGTCTCTTGTTGAATGTCAGCCTCGCCGCGACGCGTCGGTCACGTTGTGCGTCGCGTTCGTCAGCCACGCGTGGTGTCGGCGGCGGGCGGACGGACGCTGGCTATGGCATGTTCAACATTGCCCCGATCGTCGACGTCGCCCGTCGAGCGAGATCCCGATCAGGACTGCTTGCAGAAGGTGGACACTCTTCAGCGCATCGCGCTGCGTCTGCAATTCGCCTATCCACTTCTCACAACCTCCGTGCCTCAGCCCGTCATAGGATGTCCTCACGGAATGCCAGTCGTCGATGTCGATGAAGGCCATTTACTGTGCCACCATCATCGGGGACCTGTCATTGTCAACGATCGGCGTGTGCCACGTGATCGTGTTTGTGTGGACGAGCCTGTCGCGTCGCCAGGCGGTTGATGTCGCCCAATAGCACAGACCTGAGCTAAGTAACTGTAGAAGGAAGTTGGCAGCTCCGCCTGCCGGGACCAAATGGCCACTTGCATACCGCATCTAATGAACATTCTCGGTACATTTTGATACGAGGCAGAGAACGTTCTCTCAGATGGTAATATCCGATTCATCAAGGTCGACTCCTTGTCGCTCGCTCGTTCGTTCGTGGAGCGCCCACCTTTTCTGGCCGCTCAGGCACCGACGACCGATGCGACCCGGGCAATATTATGCCTTCGTGGGCGACTTGTTCAGCTCGTATTTTATCAGGGGACACGTGTATCACAGAGAGACGACCTTCAGGTTTTAGTATCTTACCATGATCAACTCATATACTGCAAGATCGCTCATCGCTAGTATCTGTCATCCACAGACAGTCACAGCTGTGTGTAGATCATTCCTTGAATACCTCAGAGTCTCGTATAAACTTGCTGCAGCACTGGCCGTATTCCTGCAAATACTATTTGCATAACCATAGGGTGCCATGAGACTTGCGATTGAAGCTCGCCGTGTCGCCGTCGACGCTAGCGGACAATAGTAGGACTTCAGAACAGTCGACATCACCGTGTTCAAGACGAGCCCGGAATCTGCTATCATCACGTGACCGTGTCACTAGCGGAGCGCCGGACCTCGCTGCACGCGCGCCGCATCCACCACTTTACTTCGACGGACGAAACTAATCAAACGTTGTCTACTCTCGACTTGCATCTCTTGGAAGGCTTTGCATGACGGATTCCACGCTATATGCTGGTGCACGATCATTGTCTCAGGGCTGACACGTCGCCGCGGGCGTACCTCTAGGCTCTAAGGGGAATACATCTTGCATCTGCCATGCTCATGCTATGTACGCGTACCAACACAACACTGCGACGCAGCACAAAACAGGGGTCGTAAACGTCCCAGGCATGCAGTAATAATATAAGGGTAGTGTAAAAACAGTCTTGTCCTCCCAAACGTTGGTTCATCGTCGCGCGTTCGCAGTGTTGTGTCCTACACGCAGCAGAAACGAAGAGCGCACACATGCAGCTCACGGTCGCGCCGCACTCATACAGGAGGCATCACACCCTTTTCCTTCATCAGCTCGGGCATCTGCTGCACCTGCTGCATCTGCATATGCGCCTGCCCCATCGGCGGCGTCCCGCCCACGGGCGCGCTCTGGTTCTGCTGCCCGTTCCCCAGAATCTCCTCGAAGCGCCGCCGGAAGCGGTTGACGTCTCTGTCGAGCTCCACGCCGATGACGTGGCCCTTGTCGAGCAGGAACGCCTCGAGGTCGCGGATGAAGTGCTCCAGGTCGTTGCAGCGGATGAGCGAGCGCTCCGGCTCGCCCGAGCCGCGCGCGCGCGCAAGGTACGACGCGGCGAGCGTCGACATGCCGCCGAGGATGGCAACGGCGATCCCTGTCTGTGTATGCGCCGCTGTCGGTCAGCCATCATAGCTCTGTGGCGGTGGGAAGGGCGCTTACCGATCGAATGGAGCCGGACGCCGCTATGCCGGTGGTGAGCGCCCCCAGGACGACCTGGATGCCGATGCAGACGTTCAGCGCATATGCGTTCATTTGGGCTGACAGATGGAGGGGACGGCGGTAAGCATAAGTTGTTTGTCGGTCATACGACGTCAAGTAGCTGACGCGGTGCAGGGAACATGCCTTTTCTGCGCGCCTTCACTCGCTCGCCGTTGGCGTGGTCCAAAGTGGGCTTGAGTCGATCATACAGCTTCTTCTCCCGCATCTGCACGGATCTGCGTCAGTGGCGGACTCGCGCACCGTGCAGTGCGGCACACTCACCGAGCTGAAGGACATGCCGGCATCGGACATGCGCTTCTCTGCCTCGTCCTCTTGCAGGACAGGCGCCGCGCCGTAATCCAGATTCGACACGCGCGACCGTACGTGCTCGGGGCTCGCCATGCCAAAGTGCATCTGAGAGGCGGCCCGTGGTACCCGTGGTGCCGGGTAGCGCGTATCGTAGCTCATCCCGCGCGCGAGCGCAGGAAGCGCGACGCCGGGTGCGTACCCGTTACCGCCGCCATAGCCGTTGCTGTATGCAGGACCGCCATACGGGGCGCCATCGTCGTATCGCCCGCTGTGGATGCTGCCGTGTGCACGACGTTCCGAGCGCTGCCGCTGTTGCGGCAGCAACTGCCCCTGCTCGTCTAATAGGTGCCTATCCAGAGAGGGTGTCCGAGTAGGCGGATGCGATGGGCCTGCGAAGTTCGTCGTGATGGGAGCAGGGGAGAGGGCGACTACGGGGGCAGGCGCGGCAATGGTGATGGCTGGGGCAGGCGCAGCTACCGGCGACGGCCGAGCCTCGATCTGCTGGGGAGGCGTGCTGGGGACCGAGCGGGAAGGGGGCTCGGGACGCTGGGAAGGCTCGGGAGAGGGCATTGCGCTGGGTCCAGGCGCGTCGACGGGGGTCATGGGCGATGTTGTAAGCTCGGCGGGCTCGTCCTCGTGGGCGTCGTGTGGGCCGTGCGCGGTGTCGGGTGCACTGTGGGTGGGCGAGGGCGAGGGGGGCGGGGGGAGGGCACGCTCGTCGAGGCTGGAGGCCATGGCTTTTGGGCTAGTCGGGCGGCGTGCAGGGAACGCAGGACGAGAAGCACGTCGAGGGACGCGAGAGCCGGTATGAATGCATAAGAGGATCTTCTGGGGCCCGTTAAGGTTCACTGATGCGCGGCTGCAGTGAGAGGAACGGCCGGTAGCCTGCGTTGCATCTGACAAAGTGGGTATGTACACCGCGATTCCATTCCATCTGCCAGGTGCGGGGCGTCTGCGGCCATGCGGGGCGGGGCCTGCGATCAGGATGGCCTGAGCATGCCCTGAACCTGGGGCCGCGCTGGCGTCGCGGAGGCAAATGCAGTCCGTGCGGGTGTCTCAGATGGTGCCAGTTTCGACGACTTCGTTTGACATGTGCGTGCGCTTGCAAGAACCCTCGCGCTGCAGCTCGTCTACTTCACACTGCGGGGATCCACCGCGCCAGGCGGATTGCGGACGCATCTGCGCGTAATAGTCGGTCGTTGCGCCGTAATTGTTGGTGCGCCGCGTCTCCTCCATTGGACACGCTCTGGTGCATTCACGCATGGAAGCCGGATGTACAGGTACCAGATGTGGCAAAGACAGATCGTCGATTGAGAGTGATCGAGTCGGGCGTCTCGCGATCCCACGGCTGACGGCTCGATTTGTATGGCATGCCGCCTCGGCGCGCGAGAACCACTATATGTTGACCACAGTTCTAGACCTCCAGTAGCAAATTGCCGGGTGGTCGTCGAAAATGCACGGCTTGGGTCTGGTGGCATTCCATAATCCTCTCTGGCCATTCCCAACGATTGGTGGAACAGGAGCTCAAGGACGATGCACACGACCTGTGCATACCAGGTGGCAATGTCCAGCTCTCTGCGCTTTTCCCTGCCGAAACCAAGCTCATCGGTGCAAAGCGACATGCCTTTACGATCCACTATTAAAGTGGGTGTTCGCAGGGGTCCTCGATATGCCCTCGGCATCCCCCGAAACGAGACTACTTATTCCCATACTATTTCTTTGACGGGGAGACCGACAGTGTGGCGGCGAATCGGGGGATGGATCCTCCGACGTGCACCAATACAGAAGCCAGTCAACGAGCACCTTAAAAGACTGCAATTGTGCTGCGCGAGAGCCTTAGGGCACTGCCGCGTCACAGTAGACAAATCAATCCGTCGTATCAAACACCCGAATCAGATTGACTCCGGAGCCGTCAGTCGCAATGTGGTCCACAAATGAAACGCGCAATACTGCCTACTGTGGAGTGCTACGGCGTGGTGCGGGGCTTCTGCGTCCATAACATGTTCGCGAGATGATGCAACACATGACAATTGGCTATCGCTACATACGACATTTTCGTGTTTCGCTCGATGACTCTACGTACGTACGGTGTTGGTGGTGCAGGCATTATCAGCTGGCTAGTATACATTTGTGGTTGTGGCTTCCTCATGGCCCGATGCTCCCTAGATTGTCTTTTGATGCTTTCAAGCTCTCATGAGCTTCCATGTGCTGCCTCCGTGCTGCCGGAGAACAACTTGGGTATTTTTAGTGGGCCGCTCAGCCCATGACGCTCGCAAGGAGAGCCATACGGATCTAGATACACAGGCGCCCCGGTCAGCCGTCGTCGTTACGCTGCGCAATGGCGAACAAGGTTACGTACAAACAAGCCATAGCGCATCTGTCGGAAGTAGACCGCACGCCTAGAATCGAAGTCCACCTCTGGGTCGATTTCTGCGAAAGGAGTCATGCGTCAGCATCGCCGCTTGGTATGTGTCGCAACTCGGACAATTTGATAATGGAACGGGCGAGTCGCGCCACGACAGGTAACAGTGAAGCCACCCGATGAGGGATCGGGTGACGGCCTTTCGCAAAGGGCCAGGTCTCATCTTCTCATCTCCACCCCGCGCCGGAGGATGGGGGCCCGCCGGGCGGCAAAGCTTGACTATCGTGGCCAGGCTTAGTGGTAGATACACCTCCGCAAATGGCCCCAGCACTGCCGGCGTCTCCCGCTACGGAGTTCGCCCAATGCGGCATGCGCGCACATTTGGACATTCCACCACTCAAAGCAGCAGACGGACCAGCCACTCACCATTGACCCTCGGCAGCGGATGCATCACGATCATGTCTTCCTTCGCGCGCGCGAGCAGCGCGTGGTCGATCCGGTAGCCGTCCTTGACCGTGGCCCACTCCGCCTCGTCCTTGAAGCGCTCCTTCTGCAGCCGCGTCACGTACAGCACGTCCGTGTCGCCGAGCACCTCCTCGAGCGACTCGCACACGCGCACCTGCGCGCCCGCGCGCCGCGCCGCGGACACGACACCCGCGGGCATCGCCAGCGCGGGCGGCGACACGAAGTTGAGCCGCACCGAGTACAGGCAGAGGAGCGTCACCAGGCTGTGCACCGTGCGCCCGTTCTTGAGGTCGCCGACGAGTGTGATCGTACGCCCGTTGACCGTGCCCAGCTCCGAGCGGATCGTATACACGTCCAGGAGCGCCTGTCATGTCAGTGCGGCGTTAGCGTTAGCAGGGCGCTCGTCGCGAGGGAAAGAAGCCTACGTGCCTGGGTGGGGTGCTCGCCGATGCCGTCACCCGCGTTGATGATCGGGACAGGTGAGAACTTGGCGGCCAGCTGCGAGCTGCCGACGTCGGGGTGCCGGATGACGATGGCGTCTGCGTAGCACCCGAGCGTGCGGATCGTGTCGGGCAGCGTCTCGCCCTTGAGGACGGACGACGCGTCGACGTCGACGTTGATGACCTGGCCGCCGCAGCGCTTCATCGCGGCGTCGAAGGACGAGTGGGTGCGCGTCGACGGCTCGTAGAACACCGTGCAGAGGACCTTGCCCTTCAGCACGTCGAGCGTGCCGTTGCGCTCGACCTGCAGCTGCATCTCGTGCGCGAGCGAGAAAAGATCGTGCATGTCCCGGTGCGTAAACTGCTTCACGGTGAGAATGTGCTTGCGGTGGTAGGCGGGGTGCGGCGTCAGGTGCGTGATGGCGTGCGGAGCGACCGTCGGCCCGTACTGAGGTGCGATCGTGGATGATGAGATCGCCATGGTCGCCGGGGGAGCCTGCGCTGCGACTGCTGCATCGGGTGCCTTGCCGCCGACATCTGGCCTTGGTCCAGAAACAGACAGTCTGCGCTCGGCAGATGGGTGCACAATCATCGCACTGGAGATGTCCCTTCCATGCGGCGCTGACGTGACTTCGCCGTCGAGGAAGACGGTCTGCCCTTGGACAAGCACCCTGTCCACGGCACCATTGATGACGGTGCCCTCCAGTGGAGACCAGCATCCAGCATTGTTTCGGAATGGCGCCTTGCGCCCAGTGATGACCTCGACGCTGGTTTGGCTCTGATCGGGGAGGCCAAAGATCCGGACGGGGTTGTCGTGCAGACGTTGACGGATCTGTTCCAGGGTCAGGCGACCAGTGGCGACCGCGTTCAAGAGGAGAGGCAGCGCCTCCTCAACTCCAGATGCCGCCGAGGCATCCTTACCCAGTTCGCGTGCAAGCTGGTAGGGAACTGTACCGATCGAGAATGCGTCGACGACATCCAAGCGTTGCCAGAGCGCCTTCTGGTCATCCGCCGAGGGCAAGCAGGTCACACCAGGGAAGTCCGCGCGAGAATAGAATAGTGAATAGACGGACACATCGCAGGTGACCTTGAGTTGCTTGGCCTTGCTGAGCGAGATGAGCAGCAGGTCCTCTTTGCTCTGCACATTAGTGACATGCAGGCTCCGGTTATGAAGCCCGGCGACAAGCAGCACGGGGGCCAGGTCAGCGCCCTTTGCATCCGTGATGATGGGCTTGTCAATTGGCCACGAGGAGAAGTGTTCTGCGACCACTGACACTTGACCATCTGCCTCGTTGTAATGGAAGGGGATAAAGAGCGCCTTGACATCAGCTTCCGTTTCTTCATCTAAGGATTTGACGTTGCTGCCCGTTGCGGTGATGCTCAATGCATAGTTGCAGTATGCAGAGCCGGCCACGTTGGCGCGCGCACGTCCCAGGGACGCCGCGTCGACTATCTTGTCGTCTTGACCGGCCGGCAAAACAAGAGAGCTCACGAATCCGCCGCTAATGGAAGCCTTCGTCGCATCGGAGAGATCAAGGCTTCCCGGGATCGTGAGATGAGGTACAAAAGCCGCAATGTTGACGAAGCCGGGGAACGCGTGCGTGTCGTGAGACGTCTTCGCGTCAACCGGGGATACTTCCAATGGAAGTCGGCGGAACAATGCTTCAAAGAGGAGCTTCGCAACCTTGACGTTCGTGATCAAGGGCACAGCGAAGTCGACTGCCATACGGCGCGTGCGGTAGCCCTTGCTGGCGTAGCTCGCGGGCCGGCGGTAGTGGTTCTTCGACGGCAGGTTGATGTACATATCAATGAGGTTGTTCGCAAGATGCTGCGTGAGCGAATACTCCGACTTTTGTTCGCTGTCCTCTCCCAGGGTCTCCAAGTACTACGTGCATAGCGTGAGAACATGCAATGCGTGACAGGTCAGCGCACTTACCTTGCAAGGGACGTTGTGTTCAGTGAGAAAGTCCGCTGTTCCGGAGGTCGCGAAAATATTGTAACCCGCTGCATGCAGCTTCTGGACCGAGGGAAGTATTTCGAGCTTCTCCTTGTAGCTGCCGATTGAGAACAGTATGTTCTTTTTCGGCAAGACGATACCAGTAGAAATGAGAGCTTTCACATAGGCCTCGTACTTGTCCTTGCCGAAACAGGCGACCTCGCCTGTGGAGGCCATCTCTACGCCGAGAACGGGGTCCGCTCCCGACAGTCGACTGAAACTAAACTGCGGTACCTTCACACCGACGTAATCCGTGGGAAGCCCGATGTACGGATAAGGCTCGACAGGCAAATCCAACATCGCCTTCGTAGCCATCTCGATCGCATCGACACCTGTGACCTTGGATACGAAAGGAAATGAGCGAGCCGCACGGAGGTTGCACTCTATGACCTTGATTTCGTTGTTCTTGGCAATGAATTGGATATTGAACGGTCCTGTAACGTTGAGCGCATTTCCAATCTTCGCAGTGGCCTCCTCAATTTGACGCACGGTCTCTGGATCAAGATCCTGCGGTGGGTGAATGAGGGTGGCGTCACCCGAGTGCACGCCCGCGTTCTCGACATGCTCTGAGATGTAGTGCATGATCATTGTGCCGCCTTTGGCCACGGCATCCATCTCGATCTCCTTCGCCCCCTCGATGTATTTCGAAATGACGACAGGGTGTTCTCGTGACACTGCGGTCGCCTGGGAGAGATAGCTAGATAGATCGTTCTCACTGAACACCACGTTCATGGCCGCACCGGAGAGAACGTATGAGGGCCTGACGAGGACCGGGTATCCGACCTTCTCACAGAATGCATGTGCCTCGTCGTAACTGGATAGCTCCTTCCACGAAGGTTGGTCGACGCCTATTTCATCAAGAAGACGCGAAAACTTGAACCTGTTCTCTGCTGTGTCGATCATCTCCGGCGACGTTCCGTAGATCTTGACATTCTGGCGATACAATGGAAGGGCAATGTTGTTTGGCATCTGGCCACCCATTGAGAGGATGACTCCCCTGGAGGACTCCGTGTCGTAGATGTCCAAAATAGTCTCCAGGCTGATGTTTTCGAAATAGAGACGGTCGGCCTCATCGTAGTCAGTACTGACTGTTTCAGGATTGTAGTTGACCATGACCGTGGGTAGCCCGTTCTCCCGCAGCGTGCGGATAGCACGAACGGCACACCAATCAAACTCGACAGAGGAACCAATGCGGTAGACTCCGGAGCCAAGTACCATGACGCCGCGATCGTCGAATGTCACGTCATGCTCGACAGCGTTGTAAGTGGTATAGAGGTAGTTGGTGTAGGCGGGGAACTCTGCGGCAACAGTGTCGATTTGCTTGACAAAGGGCATGACACCGTACTCCTGGCGAAGGCGCCGGACCGCAAGTTCTGTGGAGTTCATGCAAACGGCTAATTGGCGATCCGAGAAGCCAAGCTGCTTCGCTTGTCGAAGCATCACGTTACCGATATTCGATACAGTGCATGTTCTGAGCGATACAATTAGACACATAAGTGGTGGCAAAATTATTTAAAACGTACGTTAATTGCTTCTCCATGTGGTGAATCGACTGCAGCTGTGTCAGGAACCACTTGTCAATGTTGGTCATTTTCCAGATCTTGTCGACGCTGTAGCCGCGGTAGAATGCCGCAGCAATGGCAAAGATACGCTTGTCCGTTGGGTTCATGAGCTCCTCGTCAATATCTTCGAGGAGGTCGTTCTATAATCAGATACCAGTGTCAGAATCTCAGGATGCTCAAATACAAACTGCATTCTCTGACCTTCGCAAACCCGAGGAATTGGTCGTCAATCGCACGGATAGCCTTCTGTATGGTCTCTTGGAATGTGCGACCAATGCTCATGACTTCTCCGACACTCTTCATGCTACTACTCAGGAGGCTGCTGACGCGGCTGAACTTCTTGAGATCCCAGCGAGGAATCTTGACGACAACGTAGTCCAAGCTGGGCTCGAAGCACGCGCTCGTGACCTTCGTAACCGAGTTCTTGATCTCGTTGAGGGGGATACCAAGACCAAGCTTCGCGGCAATGAAGGCGAGAGGATAGCCGGTAGCTTTTGACGCCAAAGCGGACGAACGGGACAGTCGAGCGTTCACCTGAAGACCATAGTGAGTATACGAAAGGGTATCAATGATAGGCCGGAACTGACCTCAATGATGCAGTACTCGCGGGAAGTCGGGTTAAGTGCGTACTGAATATTGCACTCTCCTACCACTCCGAGGTGACGGATGACGTTGATGGCTGTCGTCCTAAGCATATTGTAGTCGGCATCCGAAAGTGTTTGTGAAGGAGCTACAACGATGGAGTCGCCCGTATGAATGCCCAGCGGGTCAAAGTTCTGCGCGTCCAGACTGAGCACGCAGAAGGAGGAAGAACGAAGCATATCGAACTGACCTCCATGTTACAGACCGTGATGCAGTTGTCCCGGCAATCTCGCACAACTTCGTATTCAATCTCCTTCCAGCCCTTCATGCTTTTCTCGACGAGCACCTGAGGACTTGTAGCGAACGCCTTGCTGCAAAGGGCCTTCAGCTGCTTCTCGTCCTGCGCAAAGCCAGATCCAAGACCACCCAGTGCATATGCTGCGCGCACGATAACAGGATATCCAATTGTGTTTGCGGCCACAACAGCCTCGTCCAACGTCGTCGCAGTGTCCGACTGCGCGCAGCGCTCGCCGATATCAGCCATCGCGCTTGCAAACAGCTGGCGGTCCTCTGTCGTGATGATCGTGTCGATGGGCGTGCCGAGCACCTTCACGCCGAGCGCCTCGAACTCGTCCTTCATCTTCACGCCGACATTGAGAGCGGTCTGCCCACCGAAAGTCACGTAGATACCATCTGGCTTCTCGTATTTGATAATCTTGCGCACGAACTCAGGCGTGACCGGTAGGAAATACACCTTATCAGCCAGGCCGCGCGAGGTCGCAATCGTTGCAATGTTTGGATTGACCAGGATCGTGTAGATGCCCTCCTCCTTGAGTGCCTTGAGCGCCTGTGAGCCAGAGTAGTCGAACTCGCCTGCTTGGCCGATCGACAGACCGCCCGAACCGAGTACGAGCACCTTCTGTACGTTCGCACGTGGTACACGCTTTTCGTTCTCCTCCTTCAGGCCGCCTGGCATAGAGATGGGGACAAGCGTACGCGTCGTCGCGCAGTCAATGATGTTCTGGATAAACACATCGAACAGGAACTCTGTATCGCGAGGTCCAGGCGTTGACTCTGGGTGAAACTGCACGGAGAAGAACGGCTTGTCAACGCAATAGATGCCTTCGTTGCTGCCGTCATTCGCGTTCTTGAACAGCTCTTTCCAGCCTTCCGGCAGCGTGTCCGTATTGACCTGGAATCCGTGGTTCTGGCTCGTGATGTAGCACCGCCCACTCAGCGCGTCAGTACACGGAATGTTGTGACCGCGATTACCGTACTTCATCTTCGATGTCGACGCGCCGGCTGCGAGCGCGAGCAGCTGGTGACCCAGACAAATACCAAAGATCGGCCTGTCTGCTTTTTCCATGGCCGTGGCAAGGCGAACGATCGTAGGCTCGACCATGGTCGGGTCTCCCGGCCCGTTCGATACGAACAGTCCATCGAACGGCTCTTCCGATTCTGCAATGTAGTCGTAGTCCCAGGGGACGACCTTGAGCTCCACACCACGATGCGTGAAGCACCGGATCTGGTTGTACTTCATGCCTACGTCGACTGCGACCACGCGGAGCGGTCGGTCTTCGACAGGGTGCATGCGGGGAGCTATCACCGGCTTGTACACCTTTGGCGACGCGGTGGACACGACCGCAACCAGGTTGTCCTGATTCGGGTCGCGGAGCGGCACATCGATGTATTCTTCGCGCCAGTTAGCGCTACTTGACAAGCTGCCCGGCGAAGCCGCGCGCGACGCGGGCTGGGAGTTGGGCACTAGCGCACGCCCAGCAACTACATGCGGATCGAGTCGCTTCGCCAAGACCCTCCCGAGCATGGAGCCCTGCTCTCGGATTTTTTTCGTGAGTACACGTGTGTCCACACCGTAGATGGCGGGCACACCACTCTCCTTGAGCCATGCCCCGAGCGAAGAGCTGGCGAGGAAGTGGCTGAAATATTCTGAATAGTAGCCAACTACGACGGCCGCGACGTGAATGCGGGAAGACTCGAAGTCCGGCGGCAGGTCCTCGATCGAGTCCGAACTCGGGCGCACAGGAACGCCGTAGTTGCCGATAAGAGGGTACGTCAAAATCAGAATTTGTCCCTCGTATGACGGGTCGGTCAGAGACTCCGTGTACCCGACCATACCTAGCAGGGAACATGATAAGACTTCGACTCGAATAATGTTTGATGTACTGACCTGTCTGGAAGACGCATTCCCCCGCAATGCTCTTTCCCTCCGCGCCAAAGCTGATCCCGCGAAACGCGGAACCATCAGCTAGTTCTAGTACCGCGTCCATGTTCGACGACGAGGGAATGGTTGGCGGCGCAGGTAGTCCGTGTGGATAGTTGCTCGCCGCACGCGCAAGGACCGGTCGGACAGTGTCCGTTTTCGCTGCTGGGGGGTTCGATAATGCCATTTTCGTTGGATCTGATTTGGTGGGTCTCTTCCTCTTCGCTCGCTTTGCCAGAGACCGACCTGCCGAAAAGCGAGTGAAGAGGAAGAGAAAAAGAAAATTGGTCTGCCCGCTTGCGTCAAGTACACAGATCACGTGCTGGAACCAAGTGAGACCTAACCCATTTTTAGGGTTTTGGGGCCACTCGAATAAGACATCATGCCAAACATGCGTCAAACTTGTGATACACGCATTGTCCTGACATACATGCCAAGGCCATACAAGAGTCCTGTATCCTAGATCGCGTTGCTAACCATATACGGCAGTCGATCCATACTTGGAATCACGCTTGCCTTTGTGTCACCTTACCATTTATAGCTACCATGATATTGAAATCGACTGAACGGGGATAGCCGGGCGCCTGTGTGCGTCCAAGGTCATACGTCTGAAGAGCTCTGGGCTGCTTTCATTGAGAGTCGAAATATCTCTGCTCACACCACTCGCAAAAGGACAAGCTGGACAATACTCACGCGGCGGCCGAGAACGCGTGAAAACAACTCCAGATAGTCCCAGACCACGTGTCGAGGCTTACCTGGTGGCAATATTACGTAATATTCCCAGGTACTGAAATATTCTGCCCCTACAATCGTACCACCAGCGCGACGTATATATCTGTGGGAGCTGGCAACGGTCTCCTCTCAGTCTGCGTCTTTCCTTTCCCCGTGAGGACGCCTCATCAGCTGCAAGTTGTTCTTATTCTCCTCGCGGCACGATGAACTCGACGGCACCTTTGTACCAGTCGGCCGACGTGTTGTATGCCAACACCGACTTCAGTAAACTTAACTGGGTGGAGACTCAATGGGCAGCTTGGTATATGTGGATCGGCAACCCTGTCATTGCGACGGGTCTCATGAGTTTTCTACTTCATGAGGTACGGTGAATTGATGTCAGTGTCCGTAACACTCTGACCTTGCCGTGTAGATTGTCTACTTCGGTCGTTGTATTCCTTGGATCATCATAGACTCAATACCATACTTCCGCAAGTGGAAGCTGCAGCCCAACAAGGTTCCGACGGCAAAGGAGCAATGGGAGTGCACAAAACTCGTTCTGTATTCGCATTTCACCATCGAGCTTCCCATGGTGAGTTGGTGCTTGGCTATGTATCATCGGCACTAACCTTCACCATGTCCTGTAGATCTGGTTCTTCCACCCAATGGCTGAGATGTTCGAAATGTCGACATGGCAGGTTCCGTTCCCGTCGCTGAAGATCATGGGCCCACAAATTGCGTTCTTCTTCGTGTTCGAGGACATGTTCCACTTCTTTGGTATGTGCCGCCTATGTTCTGTGAGCATCTTGTTGACATCCGCATTAGCCCACCAAGCGCTGCACTGGGGTCCGCTGTACAAGCACATCCACAAAATCCACCACAAGTACTCTGCGCCGTTCGGTCTGGCTGCGGAGTACGCGCACCCTGCTGAGGTCATGATCCTGGGCACGGGTACCATTGCTGGACCTTTGCTCTACTGCTTCTTCGCGCGCAACTTGCACATCTTCACCATGTATGTGTGGATTACGCTGCGTCTGTTCCAGGCCGTCGATGCGCACAGTGGTTATGGTATGTCCGGGCACGTGTATAGATTAGCTTCATTGCTGACAATTTCCGCAGATTTCCCCTGGTCGTTGCAGCACATCCTACCCTTCTGGTCTGGTGCTGAGCACCACGACTTCCACCACATGGCGTTCGTGAACAACTTCTCGACGTCCTTCCGGTGGTGCGACCGCTTGTTTGGCACCGACGATAAGTACCGGCAATACCGCGCACGCGTCGCAGCCATGAAGAAGGCGGGCGTGAGTAGCGAGGAATTCGCTAAAATGGAGACGCAGATGATCGCCGAGGTTGAGGCTGAGGGTGTGAAGGCGGAGGCACAGGCGGAGGCGTACCGATACGGCAGCAAGACGAAGACGGCATAATGCGCCCACGGCTCTAGATGCACACGCTCTCACCGCTTATGATATATACCTGTTATACCGTATAATTGTCTCACGAACTCTCATTTCAGAACATTGATTACGCATGGTGGCTGTCCTCTAAACTATTGCCGTAATTGCAAAGTGAATGCTCCTGCAGAATAAGATCAGGTGCTGGTATGGTTGAATGGTTTTCTGACTTCAGAAATTTGGTGGAGTGTGCAGCGTGCTATTTCGCAGCCAGTACTAACATTACTGACGGTCAGTTTTACTTTTACCTCAGGCTTAATATGCATGCTTCTGAATCTCGGTGTTGCTAAGATCTGCCGGTTGTGATCGCGCTCGAATGAGCTCGACCAAGATCGCCCGGTAAACAACGCGATGTTCTCCTGCGTAAGACTCAGAGCACTTCGTCGATTGCGGCATGGCTTCACCCTGACTGGCGCGCGGAGTTCTGTCATTCTCGATAAGACAGACACACTCACGGCAGGTGTGTATGTCCGTACGACCCCAGCCAATCTTATTAGTCTGTACGTTTTGCTCGGCCATCGTTCAACGGAGAAGAAAGAAGTTGGTGAGGCTTTCGCGCTGCCTGCCTCGACACCCACATCCAGCTTTTTATCACTCTGAAAGCTCGCATTTGGTGGTGGGTGAGCTGTCTTCCGTTGTAGTCCGAGAATCTGATTACAGTATCGCTACAGCGATATGTAGTCTGTGTATTCCATGTTCTCTCGACATCAAGCTGTCGGATTGCTCACACATATTGGCGTGAAGAATCTGCTTGTTGGCATTGCCGCATGCTTGCGTCTAAGAGAAAGATGACGTCAAAAGCGAAATCGCTTCTATACATCATACATCATGATTGGCGGGTCCGCGGTCATTATGATGGGTACCAAGATTCCGCGTTTCCTCTAGCTCCACGCGCTTCACAGACCATGCGGAGATTCATCGCGCGTGACAGCGACGACCGCGACGGCAGCGATGAGGACGATGACAACGCGCACGTCTCTGGCATATGGTCCAGCGCTCGTGGCGTCCATGAGCGGTGTGCAAAATCCTGCGAGTCTATCTCAATTTTACTCACGACATCGAGTCCCGCGAATGCGCCCCCCCCCCCCCCGGCGCATTCTATTCCTGTGAGACGACAACGTGGATTATGTTGCCCGCCTCTTCGAGGAGCATCCCCCCACCCAGGTGCCGTTACCTGATTTCACGGGCGGGCTTCGAAACGGCTACCTCAGGTTGCTGACTTTCACCCAATAAACGAGGCTAACAGAGTTCATATAAGAGAACGATACTTCAATGCAAGCTAAGTGTACCAGAAGACGTACCAGAAGACCCGGTACCGCAGTGGGTATAAAGCCTCGAGCCTGATAGAATTTTAGTAGTACTACGATGGCGTTCCTCGTACGACGGTACGCGCGGTACACACAGTTAACAGATCCATACATTCTCAACCCCTCAGACTGCATACTTCAAGTTGTCGCGTCTCAGGGCCGTTGCCACATTATCTGTGGTATTCATGCATGCATGGACAGCCCAGCCGACTATCTACAAATTATAAGCACAGAGTCATATCCGTTCGACCGACCACAGGCTGTCGTATCCCACCTTCGCGCTACGGGACGTGCCTGAGCTGCGATTTCATAACGAGCTAGCACTCCAGGAGGCTGATAGGCAAGCGAATCATCGCATGAATATTCTAGTGTCTCGAGTGGACTGAGAGCGAATACAGTACAGTACTTGCCATTTCAGTATGAGCGGCAGACTGGCACGTGGAAACTCGATTGTTCGTTACAAACTGCCACTAGTACCCAGACTGCAACGCTCGGACATTCCTCAAATCCCCCATCCCTGAGTAGCTCTCAGAACTACACAAAACTCAGGAAGTTGCACGCTGCTTGCCATGCTGCTGTCTCCGCCATTACCTGTCGAGCTACTTGAGCTCATCGTCGAGCACCTTCCTCAGCGCGACATCCCATCTGTTCTCAGGGCAAACAGCCTGTTTCATGATATTTCAGTACGCGTTCTGTACCGCGACATTCTAGAGATGTCCCCACTCAAATGCGTTACTTGTCTCTCCACCCTCGCATCCAAGCCGACCCATGCACGGTTCGTGCAACGCCTACAGATCGACTGGTCAGGCCACAAGGTTATCGGGACCTTGCTCCGCTTGTTGCAGCGCGCGTTGCAGCAAGTCAAGTCACTGAGGCATCTCTCGCTCGAGCTATCGTCTCAGGACAATCAGTTCAACTTCTCATGGCTGTTCTCTGGGGTCCAGTTCTCCCTACACACACTGGCAACCTCCGCGCGCTGCGATGGTGCCCTTGCGGAGTTCCTGGAGACGCAGCCTCTGATTCACGAACTCTCCCTGCGTGGATTTCAGACGAGCATGCCTTTCATTCTGTCGCCCTCCGCTCTACCCCGCCTCACGTCCGTCCGGTCCGTGCACGCCGGCATACCCGTGCTGGAACAGGTCATACGGGGACGGCCCGTCGAGGCCGTATCTATTTCTTTGTTCGCAGAAGATGGCTACGCGATACTGGACACGGTCCGGTCGTCGAGCAGACCCATCAAGCGTATCACCGTCATGGCGTTGGACAACAGACAGCCATCCAAGCTACTGTTGGAAATGTCCGAGCGCTTTCCACAACTGGAGGCGCTTCATGTCGTAGTGCTTCTAGCGTTTTACGATCATGTAAGTCTTATCGCACCATGTCCTTTGCGATGGCTGACGCGGAGTCGCATAGCAAACCCTCCTCACATTCGCCCCCTTCCTGTCCAGATTCGCCCACCTGCGTTATGTTACATTCGTGGCTGGCTTCGGCGCCCGCTTCGACGAGGAGGGAGAAATAGTCAAACAATGGCACAAGTCGTGCCCAACACTCAAGACCATCATTTTGCCCAAGGGGCAGGTGTGGTTTGAGCGTGACGGGAAATGGACCTGCTCGCTTTGACGAGTATGAATGATTGGCAATTCCGCCGTCTCCTACAATCCGTTCGTCCGTCTCATGGAAATGTTGCCTATCCTCAAGAACCGTTGTATTCACTATCGGCTTGCGCCCGTATCGTATGTCGTCTTTTTATTCCCCTCCCCTCGTATGAACTTGCATTCAGCATCATGTACATTTTGACAACGCGTATTCTAGCAGACTAGTTACCTACACAAAGCAGTGGAAGACGGTACAATGCCATAAGCATAGATGTATAATTAGCATCCTTTAAGCAATCGGGGCCACATCGTCCTGACAGCAAGAAAGTAAAGGTTAGCCCTGCGCGATCGGTCCCAATATGTTCAGGCCTACCGTGCGGGTGAACGTAAGCATGTGACACGCTAGGTAGCCCTTTAAAAAGCCCGCCTCCGCATACGCGAACTGGTACTCCCACTTGCGCATGAAGATCGCAAACTGCACGTCATCCTTGAGCGCGGGATGTTCCATTGCGATGACGTCCTGGCGCAGGTTGGCCTTCAGACGGCGACCCCACGTCCGGAGGGTACGCGGGTAGTCTGTATGTATAGAAAGCCAGTACGTCCAACAGTCAGTGTTTCTGTCGGGTGATAATGAGCCGGGACGCACGTGCAGCGTGATTCTCGACGCGGTTAAGAGTGAAGCGGCCTTGTGCCGCGGTGAGGGCGGCATTCGCCAGCACCGTTGCGCTCGGGAGGCACGCACCGGGCCACATATACTTTCGCATGAAATCCACCGCTCTACACCGAAGGATGTGGAGTCAGGAACTGCGCCACGGCCCCACTTGGCACTCACTGGTAATCGCTGTATCGCCCCTCGGGGAAAGTGGAGGAGGTAACCACCGCAGTCGCATTCCGTGGCTTAAGCGCAAAATCCACTAGCTTGAAGTAGGTGGGGTAGTACTGGAGGAAGAACGCAAAATCAGCTTCCATTTTTTCGCGTTGCCGACTTCCTCGCTTATGAAGCCGATGTAGTACCTTGGGGCCGACATGCTCGAGCATTTCGATGCTGACGAACGCGTCGAACGCGTTCTCGAATTCGGCGGGTATGTCGCGGTAGTCCAACAAATGGACACGAATGCGGTCCTCCAGGCCCGCCACCCTAATGCGCTCCTCCGCGAGGGCCTTTTGCTCCTTTGACAAGGTGAGGGTGTCGACCTCGCAACCGAAGCTTTGCGCTGCCTGCGAATCCCAAGACTATAAGTCTCGCTCATAAATAACCGCTGGTCAATCACACCTCTATAGCAAGTCCGCCCCAGCCAGAGCCAAACTCGAGAATGCGATGTCCGGGCTGCACTCGTGCCTGGCGTAGGATATGATGCAGCTTCCGGCGCTGAGCACACTCGAGGTCGGCGGCCGTTGGGCCAGCGACTAAGTCGCCGGCGACGCCACTTTCCTCCTCGCTCCAGAGCGCGCAGGAGTACATCATTTCCTTGCTTAGGAACGCCTGCAGATACGGCAGGCCATTTGTGTGTCAGCGAGGGAAACCCGGAACAAGTGGGGTCGGACGCACCTGAAAGAGCGTGTTTGATTGGTCGTAGGACGCGATAGCGTTCATCCGGGCATTGAGGCGGGACTGGCCGATGTATGCATTAGATACACTCGTCGCCAGCGCTGTCATGCGTGAGAAGATGGACGACACCGCAGTGACTCCGGATAGGTTGTCGATAAAGAGCTATGCACATAGCCAGTCAACACTGACGACAAATTGAAAGAAAAAAGATTTTCACTTCAAGGATTGCGGTGAGGTCGTCGACCTCAATCTCGCCCATCATGTAGGCCTCGCTGACTGTACGGTATGATTATGCAAGACCTAGAGATAGTAGCTATGGCACTGACAGCCGAGACCTCCAGACCTGTACTTCAATGTCAGCTACTTTGAGATAATAGATAAAACATTCCGTAATACTCACGTCAATACGCGCAACCAAAACCGCTCATCCCGGACGGCCAGACCAATACTTGTATCACTCTTGTCACGGGTACCGATCAACGTGGTTTGCTCTCCCTCAGTAATTCTGATTGCGCCAATCTGGATTGAATGCTGGAGGGTTGTGATAATAGATGATCGAGCTTCATACTTATGAGACAATGAAGCAGGCTGGAGATGCGCAGGGTGCTCACCGAAAGAATAAATCCATGAACGAAATCCAGAAGTGTCGAAGCTAGGGAATAGTATCCAATGGTCGATCGAGGGTGGGGTGGAATGACTATAGTGCGAGGAGAGCATATTGTTCGTGTGCTGCGACGCCGGATATCCTGGGATGCTTCATGCTTGGCCTGTTTATATACCGTCGGCACACATGGTCACGTTTCCAGTCTTGCAGGAAGGCAGACTATGATGTGGCAGCACCATGGCGCGCGCACCCTCATATGATCCGAGGTGCGGAGTGATGGTCAAGTAAGGTGTTGCAAGAAAGCTGGGTGGCCGGACGGTAGAACCTGAAGAACCCATGTCTCTTCCCGCTCGATGTCCAACCAAATGGCACATTATGATTAAGATGCCAGCCGATAATTCGGCCATCAAAACGTGAAATGAGATTGGGCGGTGTTCGCGAGGTAGTTGGAGACACTGTTGAATAGAAGGTGGAGAACGGATACGCATGACTATCCTGCGGTATCTGCGTGTGATGAGTGTCAGGGTCGACGGTATACATCCGACTACATATGGCACCTTGTACCCAGGCTTGTACTCCGTAGTGTCAGAGCTGGACGCTGCGATAACACGTCGACTATAGCAGATGATCACAATCTTGCGAACTGATGGCCGCCTGTCCAAACTGCGCAGGTCGGCGATGGTGGGTGGCATCTGGTGGGATTCCGCTAGACAGACGGCATCCCAGATCCGTAGCGTGGTCCCAATCTACACATAGACAGAAGGCGACACCTTTTGCGCGTTCCTCTGCCATATGATCGATCAACAATAAGCGTTGTGAAATAATGGTGCGCGTAGAAACATACCGCGGTGATACTCTGTCCCCAAGGGTATTGACCGGCACTTTGTACAAAGCGAGCGAATCGCCATCGCCCTCAAGCATCATTAATTTCACTCGAAGGAATATCTTTCTCTAGAGCCTTACGGCCGTGTCGTCAACAACAGGGCCTCATGCTCCCGATGCTTACCCCGGATGGCATCCAATTTCCCTTAGAGAAAGGTTATTTGACGTGCAATTTGGATGCAGAAGTCGTGCTTTAACCCCTGGAGATTAGATTCGAGGTCCAAGAATCATCGAGATGTGGCGTTGCATGCACGAGAATCCTGCCAGTACAGATCACCGGGGTGCGCGCCAATACCATTGGTCGCGCCCGACGACGCACAAAATCTTCATACTTCCCTCCGGGCTCGTAACCCTTCGAGAGAATGCCGTGTTCATCGCGCATGGGAGTGTTAATCGACGAGCGTGACGCCGGCGACTTGGCGTGCACGCACCAACACGGCGACCAGATATTTGCGTGCAGGGTGCCTTCCCGCAGGGTCTGTACGGTTTGCGGATGCAAATTGGACTTTGAATCTGATCCGTTATGTAAGTCCGTGCCGTTTGGCAGAAGAAAAACGCCAGAGGGTGGCGGATGGGCGGGAATGGATGAGGTAAGTTTGAACAATCGTGCGAGGCAAGAGCGGAGCGCGGAAACAACGTTTGCAATACTTGATCTGGCCCGGTGGAAGGTAGTCTGCGTTGCTAACGATATGCAGACATGGATGTCAGTCGATCCATATCTAGGGGTCCCCCTTCCAGATGTAAGAATGTAAAGTATAAACCCGTCGTATGGCAAATAAGAATTAAAGTAAGAAGAGGCTCTGAGTCGTCTCACAGGCTACAGCCCGGCAACAGCCGTTTTGGAGCTCAGTCAGATCAGCTGCCGACAAGGTTTAAAGGTCGATTCCATTCTACAAGTTCGTCTAGACCCCTGCGGGGAGATAGTACTTGTTTGGTAAAGATCCCAAGTATATTGCTTTCGAAGACATCCTCCAATAGAACGCAATGAATCTCTGATTAACATCGACCCGATTTACCGGTTAATTATCTGTTAATTAACCGGTAATTTGCCCAACGTAAAAATACAAGGCGTAAATCTGGGTGATTATTCTAGACCCAGTGGTATCTCAGGCTCCTAAAACCAGCCCCACAATCGCGTTCTTCGCTCCTACATCCGAGAGGCCAACTTAGTGTTCCGAATTATATACGAAAAGATAATCACGTGATTGATCCGAAAGTGAGAGCACGTGAGGAGTCAGAAGAGGGGCTGGCGCAACTGGACGCCGAGTCATCCCCGAGCGCTGAGGTTTCAGCGTCTAAATACTTATTCTTCGCTCCTAACCCCGACGTAGGTCTTGATTTATTTCATTTGTGTGAGCGCAATGATCTCATTCGGTTAGGCACTCTTCGCAGTCTCATGCATTCACGCCTTCAAAGGCTCATGTGTTGCCTGAACCATATGAAGAATATACATTGAGTGATATCATCGAATGCTGACCAAGAGGCCACATCATTGCTGAGTAGCAGGGAAGTTCAGGTACATTTGTTTCATGTGCTTCCAAGTACCAGAGAATTGCTCATAGACTACTAGTATCCAAAGAGAAAGACATTCAAACAAATTGTATTGAGCTTGCTGTAATCTATATAACTTCTCCTAATCTTAATGCAATGTAGCATCATGTATCTCATGAGACCTGACCAAAGACACTCGGCAGAGCTCATTATGGTTAACAGGCTGAGCAGGGTGCACCGAATGCAGCTGGGATTGCTACTCCGTGAATCCAAACAAATAAGACCTACATCAGGGTTAGGAGCGAAGAATAAGTATTTAGATGCTGAAACCTCAGCGCTCGGGGATGACTCGGTGTCCAGTTGCACCAGCCCCTCTATAGTGTTCATCCTCCTCTTATTCGTCAATGCCTTATCGTGACGAGGAGATGGGGTTGAGGAGGAGAGCTGAGATGAAGCTGTGTGGAACATGAATTGCGCGATTTGGGGAACCATGCAAGGGGGGTGTGGGTGTGTTCTATTCGTGCTCAGGCCCACCCCTTGCGGGGACAGCCTCAAGGCACACACAGTCTACTACGAACATGGAGACTCGTAAGACAAAGAAAAACAAAGAAAAGGGAACACCAAGAGAAATTATAACAATGTGTAAGGGGGGTGGGAGGGAAAGAAAATTGAGACCGTACTGTGAGCAGTGCTGCGAGCGATGCGTGAGACGGCTGTATATGAGCATATAGTAGGTCGTGAACATACCTGCGAGCAATGCGTGAGACGGCTGAGGTCTCCGCATGCTCACAACATGTATATATACCCAGGGAGAGCTAAGCGAGACAATAACCGGCAAGGGGAAGGTGGTGAGAAAGAGCGAGAGGTCGTAGCATGACAGGAGCCACATCAAAGCATATTGGCAGGAGGCCAATAGCTTTGATGAGATCGAGATCGTCCATCGATGCATTGACCCAGTGCATTCCAACAACCCCCGAATGCACTGCTCAGCTATTCTGACTCCTCACGTGCTCTCACTTTCAGATCAATCATGTGATTATCTTTTCGTATATAACACTAAGTTGGCCTCTCGGATGTAGGAGCGAAGAACATGATTGTGGGGCTGGTTTTAGAAGCCTGGTGGTATCTGTGAAGTCATTGGTAATGAACAAGTAATAATATTGTCTATCTCTGCCATATCACTACAGACTAGCTATATTGGAAAGTACCGATAATGGCAACCCAGCAGCCCGGGAGCGGCAAGTTCATAGTGTCTCCGAAGTTCGGTTCGGTCCAGGTTCGGGCCTCTCAGGCTCTGAACCTGAACTTGAACCTCCAGCGACGGCCTCGGACCAAACCTGAACATGGACCGAACCTGCCGAACGGGTTCAGCAGGTTTGGTCCAGGTTTGAACCGTTATTGAACCATACTAAAGCAAGGACCAATGTATACTTAGCTAGAATCTTCGGGAATTGTGAGCGAGAACTACAAATGACAAGTGAGCAGCATCTCAACCTTTACAGGTGAGCACACACCGCTTTCCGAGTGGCATTAGTGATGCTCACCCCGCCATCCATCGGGAGATGCTGCTCCCTGTCCAAATTGGGTATGTCAGCTGCAGACACAAAACCTCCCGTGCTGACAGGAAGTTGCATAGAACACAGAACAGGTAAGGATTCCTTATACTCATGTCCCGCAGCTACTATTACTGTCTGTTCCACGACGATCAGCCATATAAATTGTTCATTTGGTCCTCGGTTCAGTTCGGGTTCGAACCAGATAGGCAGCTCCTGAACCCCAAACTGAACCTGCCGCCCTAATGCCCGAACCTGAACCTAACCGAACCTGAACCTAGGTTCGGTTCAGCCGATTCACGGTTCAGAACCGCGTTCAGGACCGAACTTCAGAGATGCTACAAGTTCATCGCCAGCAAGACAAATGATCTGACTGCTGAATTCTTGCGAGACATCCTAGCCAGTAGTTCAGTTTCCCTGAAATAACAGCAGGAGCACGAAATATCAGCGAACATTGCAGATTTGAGTGAAGTCAGTGCGAAGGACCTGGATTGGGATACTTGGTAATTGACACGATCAAGGTCGAGTTTACCGTTTTGGGTTGTAAATTGACGTATAGATGCCCTTGGGTTAATTAACCATCAATTACACCTGTTAATCTGGCCCTCCCTTCAGGCTGACTGCTAATATACAGTCAGAAAGCAATTCCTAATTCACCGCACTCTACCTCCAAGAAATGTTTATGATTACCATTGAAATTGGGATAATAATGTAATGAACCATTGCATTGGTTCAATGGTGTAGTTGGTTATCACGTCTGTCTCACACTGAACCCAGTGCACAGGAGGTCTCCGGTTCGAACCCGGATTGAACCAGCGTTTTGGTTTTTCGTGAAGTATGCGAAAGATATTTCCACCGGAGTCTAATCTACAGGGATAGTAATGTCAAATCTGATATGATACTGCAAATACGGCTAAGGCATATTTGAGGGCTGCAGCAGCCGTGTCCAGCTTAGCCAGCTTGTGCCCAAGCCGACTACTCCAACCCCTGCGCACACAAGAATCATCTCCAGCATGACTTGCCTCCACTTACGCACTAGTACCGCAGCACCGGCTGGATTTGGACGTACACTTTCCGCCTCTTCAACGCCAGAGGCGAGCTGCCCACCTCCGTAGTTCTAATGCACTGGCGTATCCTCGCCTAAGCTCAAGCTCGGTATGACATCGGTCTGCGGGCAAAACGATACGCGCCGCATACCGAGGTTCCACCGTAGGCTACGAGCGATGCCCTCACGCATGACCTCACGCCGCTTCTCGAGCCAGCCGCGGCGCGGGTACCACCGCGCGAACCAGTGTGGGATGCTCTGGATGAGCAGCACTGTGTGCATGCGTAGAAGCACAGGTAGGCGTGGTGGTGCGAGCCCGACGCGCTCGGAAAGCGCAGGGCCGAGGAAGTAGTACGAGCATGCGCAGTTGTACTCGAACGACGCGAATGCGGGCGGTCGGTTCGACGCAGTGTGCAGGATGGGCACCGTAGGCGCGTCGACGATGGTGGAGGGGTCATCTGTGGAGAAGAGGTGCAGTGTGCTTGTCGCGACGAATTTGTCCGCGGCAGCAGGGTGACGGAAGTGGTGCTGAAGGATTGACGGGGATACGCCAAGGTAGAAGCCGACGTGCCGCCAGAGCGCCAGGTATGCAGATATGTGCGTCTCTGATGGCGGAATGCTAAGACGACGAAGGCACCAAATGGGGATGGTAGAGAACACTGCTAAGCTACAGTGTACACATGTGCGGTTAGTGAACGGTGATGGGCCGGAACAGTAGAATGGACGGACGTAACGCTGAGTTCCTCTTGGCTGATGGCAGTTGTATCCATCTCTGATGTTTCTCTGTTTTCCCTTGTCCATCGTTCTCGGACTCGCATCCGAGCGACTCCGTGCAGCAGTCAAACGTTCACCGTCGCTCTCCACCCCTGGCCGCCAGGCATAAGGTAGGAATCCGGCGGGCTTTTCTTCGTAGGAGGTGTGGCAGAGCAGTTAAGAACGTCCAGTACAAATTGAAACGTCTCTAGCAGCCGTGTGAATGTGCGCTCATTTGAGGCGCTCGTAACACGCGCTGCGGCTTGTGATGCTGCGTGTGTGGATGTAGAGAGTTTACATTCAGTATAGTTGGCATCAGGCTTCTTGACATGTGGAACTAGATAGGAGACTGCCTTCGGCGTGCGCACAATGCGAGGACTACGGAACAATGGTCAGAAAAATGTTATAGGAGATTGCGAGAGGTGTCAGGTTTCTGCATCGCAAGGGAAGATGCAGAAGGCAGGACACGAATGATTAGATTGCATCTGCGAGGTACAGAAGCAGAAAAGGTGTGCATGAATGCTCACCTCGCGAAGCCTCCAGCTAGGCTGAAGTGTAACAGTGCTTGAACAATTTCTATACTGTTGTCTAGGAAGACTTGCTGTGCTAACACTGCGTCATCGGGATGTACCTTGACATCCGAAGGCGGCAATTGTGTCACTTCGTTCAGGAAGGCTTAAACAGCCGACCAATCTGGGTGACCGCTGGCAAACTGCTCCACAGATGCGAGTAAATCTTGCCCCACGCTTGAAGATGAGCTTGGAAAGATGGCCTGAAGTGCCTCGTCGCATAGGGGATCACCCTGCCTCCTCCACCTCCACCCGCGCCTCATCAATGACAAAAACAGTAATGAGCGGTGTACATACATTTGCGACAAGTCCTCAGTGACACAGTAGTCATCCCAGTTAAGGATCGGTTCGCCGAAGACACTGACAATGTCCCCTGTGCGAAGATCTCTTGCCTGATTGAAATGATAGACCGGCTTAGCATCGTGAGGAGCTCCATTTCGTATCGTAGAGCGAATGGCATCGCAGGTAGATTAACCACTTAGAAGAATATCTTCATAAAGGTAAGTTTGAGTTGAGCGAGAACTTTTCATACAATCGAAAGGAAGTACCGCAAGGAGGGAAGTGCGGTAGTGATGGGCGTCTGCCTCAAAGTGCGAAGCGGATCAATCCGCGAGGCGCTCGACAAACAAACCCACGAACACCCATCTCCTCAGATTCCAGCGATGCCCGGTCTTCCAGCGATAGGCAGCAAGGAAAACATTGTGGGTCACCGATTTCCGTCCTCAATCGTACATCGGTGCTGGCTGCGAGTGTATCCATGCTTCGGTGTACGGTACAGGGCGAATGTGTAGTAACAGTCCCACATTGGACGGTGACAAGACGTCGAGCTGGACTGCCCGGGATTGTGTTTATCGGGGGCGTGTCGGACACGACACTACGAACGCGCGACGATGAATCAACATTTGCGAGGACATGACTGTTTTTACACTACCATTATATCATTACTGCACGCCTGGGATGCTGACGACTCCTGTTTTGTGCTGTGTCGCAGCGTTGTATCGGCGGTACCCGTATATAGCATGAGCACAGATGCAAGATATGTTCCCCTTAGAGCCTTTAGAGGTGCGTCCGCGGCGACATGTCAAGTTGAACTTGAGACGATGGTCGTGTGCCAGCATAGCATATAACGTAATATCTGTCATGCGAAGCCTGCCAAGAGATGCAAGTCGAGACTAGACAACGTTTTATTAGGTTCGTCCGTCGAAGTAAAGTGGTGGATGGTGCGCGAACGCGACACGGTCCGGCGCCTCACTGGTGGCACGATCACGTGATTCAAGTAGGCAGCTCTATAAAGAGACTCTGAGGTATTCAAGGAATGGTCTACACACAACCGAGACTGCTTGTGAATGACACTTGTAGTATATAAGGTGATCATAGCATGATACTGAATATTAAAGGTTATTTTTCTGTAATACACGCGTTCCCTGACAAAATAGGAGCTGAACAAGAACAAGTCGCCCACGGAAGCATAATATTAACCAGGTCGCGTCGATCGCCGGTGGCTGAGCGATCAAAAAAGGCGGTCGCTGCACGAACGAACGGGCGAGCGACAAGGAGTTGACCTTGATGAATCGGAAATTACCATCTGAGAGAATGTTATCTGCCTGGTTCTAAGATGTACCGAGAATGTTCATTTATTGCTGTGTGCAACTGGCTGTTTGGTCCCGGCAGGCGGAGCTGCCAACTCTACACGTAGCTCAGATCTGTGCGACATCAATGGGCCCAAACCGCACAGCGATAGAGTCGTCGATACAAACGCGATCACGCGGCACACGCCGATCGTTGACAATGACTGGCAGGTCCCCCGACGACGGCACAGCAAATAACCTTCATCGACATCGACGACTGGCATTCCGTGAGGACATCTCATGACGGGCTGAGGCACGGAGTTTGTGAGAAATAGATAGGCGAATTGCAGACGCAGCGCGATGCGCTGAAGAGTGTCCACCTTCTGCAAGCAGTCCTGATCGGGATCTCGCTCGACGGGCGATGTCGACGATCGGGGCAATGTTGAACATGCCATAGCCAGCGTCCGTCCGCCCTTCGCCGACACCACTCATGGCTGACCTACGCGACGCACAACGTGACCGACGCGTCGCGGCGAGGCTGACATTCAACAAGAGACAAACAACGCCACACTCCTCGCTGCCTATAAATCCCTTGTTCCCTCCGCGCTTACCAGTTCGACGCTTTGACCTCCAACCATCACCATCAGGTGCGCCTCCGCTCCCCTATGCCTCCTAGAAAATAGGCACTGACCTGCATCGCCTGCATTGTCTTACTTCCTCCACTGTCTCTTTGTCGTCGCCCTTGTCGTCGCCCTTGTCGTCGCCCTTGTCGTCGCCCTTGTCGTCGCCCTTGTCGTCGCCCTTGCCACCGTTCGACGTCGCTGCTATCATCGCAGCTTGTTTTACAGGTATTTGCATCTGGTATGCCGCCTTGTCTACTCGTTTGTGGCTTGCCTGATAATCATCGTGTCTCGTTTGCTTCTCTTTGTCATCGTCAATGTCGACGCCACAAATTCGACACCGTCGCTGCTGAAGAGGCTTGAAGCACGGCTAGACGACGAACACTAATCTTGGAGGTCTAGTATCCCTTACAGAGTCAGGTATGTTCTCATATCATACCTCTGGAGTGCCACTCACCTAGCTCGCTGTCGTCTTTGTTCATTCAATGTGGCACTACCCAACGACCTCGCTTTCATCATTGTCGCCGTGCTTTGTGCATCGCTATGGGCATCTCCAGGTAAGCAGTCTTCCTTACCCTATAGCTCAGTGTTCATTGTCTCATGGTTGTCGTGCATACTCGTCCCTTCTACTTGCCACTGTCGTGCTGGACCCTGCGATGCCACATGCCAGACCCCCGCAAAAGTGTCTCCCTCCAACGATCGGGATGGGGTGAAGGGTCCCCCGCAAAAGTGTCTCCCTCCAACGATCGGGACGGGGCGAAGACAACGTGGCCGACCGATACCTAGGCAAGCAGCACATTACATTTGCGTGTGGTCCACTTACTCATTGTTGTGTCGTATCATTTGTAGGATCAAGCTGGCCCCCGCAAAAGTGTCTCCCTCCAACGATCGGGATGGGGGTGAAGGGTCCCCCGCAAAAGTGTCTCCCTCCAAAGATCGGGATGGGGCGAAGAGCGGCATCGTGGACCAGG